CAGGCTGCACGAGGAAGGTCCAGCCAGGGATGTGGGAGCACAGGAAAAGGGAATGGCTGTTGGACGGGGCTTCTCATGTGTGGGTAAGCCAGGGCTCAGCACTACCTTGGGTTTGGCCCTCGGGGAAGTGAGGCAGGTTAAACCTGTGCGCCGCCTCATTCCTGACTCGCCCTACCTCCTCCATCAGCTGCCGAGTCCTCCACCACAATCCCAGCCCTTGGTCCTGCCCCTTTGAGCAGGACCTTTCCTTACCTTTCATGGCCTCGGCTGCTTGGATGAGCTCGGTGACGGAGCTGGCCACACGCTTGGAGTAGCCTGCCAGCTGCTGCTTCAGCTCATGAGTTGGCTTCTGCAGGATCTGCAGGGAAGGAGCAGATATCAGCATCTGGTAAAGGGGGACCTCACAGGTCTGTTCGGGGTGTGCTCCCCAAGGAAGCAGGGTGGGATCCTCCAGCTCCCCCACACAACATCAGACATTGTCTGTGATGCTTCCTCGAGTGACTGTGGCTGGTCTCCTGCCCGAGGATGGGATGAACCTTAGCTCCACTGCATCCAGAGCTCAGAAGCTTTCCTGCACTCGGTGGCTATCCCCTCAGATTTCGGTCCCCCCCCAAAGCATTTCAAGCTCCAGAAGCACTTCCCCCTCACTATTCCCATTTTGGAGGTTTGTCTGCAAACTCAAGCTGGGCAAAAGGGAGGACCCTGGTGCCACATCGCAGCCTATGAAGGCTGGTCCCACCAGCACAAGGTGGCTGGGAGAGCCACAGGGGTCCTTCACTGAGTGGGGGGCAGACACACATGCACACACGACAGCACACACATGTGCACACACACAGGGTCTGTACACTCAAGCAGAGCTCACTGCTGGCCCAACTCACACCACACAGGTGGAGCTAGAGCGGATGTGAGTACACACGCACACATACAGACCCTGGGGTCCTTGTGGACACACGCCAAGTGCCACCCCAGCACTGGGCTGGGCACGCTGACACGCTGTGAGCAAGGCTCATGCTGAGGTTAGACACCAGCAGGCACCCCAACATCACCTTACTCACCGGCTGACAGGGAGAGAGGGAGAAGAGAGAGAAGAAAGCAGTGAATGCCCTGGACGGGACACGTGGGTGCTGGGGGGCAGGGGAAGATGGGTGCCTTCTGGTGGAGGATGAAGTACAGCCAAGAGGTGAGATGGGAACGAAGGATCAGAGGTCCCGGGTGGGAAGCTGTGCTGCCATTGCAAGCTCATACTTCAGCCTTGCAGGGCTGGCAAAGCCCACGTGCCCGGATGAGGCTCCTGGGGCCAGAGGAGCCACCTACACCCAGAGCAACCACGGAGCTGCTCTCCTCCTCCCCTTTACACCTTATTTCTCCCCACCTTGAATTGCTTCACTGCAGTTTTCAGCCACCAGATCTCTTTGCTTTTGGAGGGAGAGTCCTATCATTACCAAATACCAAGTCTCTGTGGAGGTTCAAATTCCTTCCCCTCCCCAGTGAAATATGCAAGCTTTCCCACTCCTCTGCCGGCACATTTTCCATCCCAAGTCAAATAACCCTCTTTCTGAAGCTCTAATCATGCTTGTTCACACTCCACGCAAGACACTGATTCCCAAGGGGACACGGCGTACAGCAATGGACTTGCTGCTGCCAGGGAGCATGGCAGCATCACATCTGCCATCTCCTCTCCCGCTCCCCTACGTCTTTCCTGCTCATGGCTTTCCAGGAACATGCTGCCCTCTGATATATGGGACCCATGAGCTTTCTTCCTGCAGATCAGAGTGCTGCAGAGGCTGGGGAGTGTCGTAGCTTTATCCTGACCTCACATGGGGCCATCCCAGCAAAGTCACCAGAGCTGCACATGGCTTGGGGTCCCCGAACCGATGGCATACAGCGATGGTTGGTTTGCCCTCATAAACGCATCCAGACTAAATGCCACATTATTAATCTGCTATCTGCTCTGACAACATGTTTAAAACTGCTAAATCTTCTCTGTCTGGAGCTCAAGGCATGTTGGACGCTATAAGCTTACTAAGATGCACCTGCAGTGAACTTTTAATGGGGTGTACCAACGTATGGTATTCAAGAGATGTTGCACAGCAGCTGGACGGTTACACCTAAAATACAGCAGAATAGCATGTTCCTGCAAGTAAGGTGACCTCGTGAACTGCCACACTAAAGTCATTAGCCCAATCATCTGTTAACCAGTCAGCCAGAGAATCCTCCTCAGCACTGCTGCCTTGGCTGCCATGTGTATGTGTAGCCACATACATGTGGCTACAGCATCTTCCAGACAGACATTCGATATAGATGCAGAGGATGGAAAACTCACTGCTCCCCTTGGAACTGTACCCCAGTGGTTACCTCTCTCAGTTAAAACCACCCTTTGACTTCTCCTCCACCCAGTTTCAATTTCTAGCCATCGATTCCTGCCCACCTCCTCTTTGTGCTGCCAATGCTGGTTACGCTCTGCCTAAAGGGGCTTTCGCTGCAGGAAACCACAGTCTGAGCTCCACCACCTTGTATCTGGTGACACTGAACAGCAGATTCTCATGAAGCCCTTCTAACCAGCTTAGCGAAACCTTGCCAGAGCTGACTCGCCCTCAATCTTTGTCCTGACCCCGGTTTGAGGGCTCTCGCAGCTCTGCGGGCTGGATCTGCGCATCCCTCTAGCATGTTTGGACTCCAGCTCTGTGATCTTGCCAAGAATGCAAACCGCTGGAAGGACCTCACTGGATCCTTTCTACCACATTATGGTCTTAATTTGCTTCTTGGAAACTACACTCATCTTGTAGGGCAGCTAATTAAAGCAGCCAGCTGAAGTCCTTGGGAGGACTCAGATAGAGGAAGACTGGATCAAAAGGGTACAGGTGGCACTTGCAGTCATCACTTCTCCTGTTGTGGGCACTGCCCGTCTCCCACTCTGCTGTGAGGTTAACTGTTTTCATGCTGCCTGAAGTCTCTTATTCCAACCACTTTTACTGGAAGCTGCTTCAGGGATTTTGCTCTCATGTTGTTAAATTTCTAGCCCCCATCTGTTTATGGCCAGTTAATCTCCATCTGTTGTTAGCCAAATACCTTTCTTCAGAGTCTGTTGATCTCTCTGACATCTGCTTCCACAGCAGGGGCTTGGCCATGTGCTGTGCTGGCAAAGGCAGTGAAGGGGGCTCTCCAAAGACCTCAGCAGGATGAGGTGCAGAGCCCAGAGAACCTTGGGGTTGGGGACCACCCTGGCATCCACCGGCAGCCTCTGCCCACCTGGGAACCAGGACAGGAACACTCACCACCAGCACGTGCTCCAGCAGCTCCAGGTAACCATCAGCACACTCCTTGCCAAAGCGCAGCGCCCGCTGCCGCACGTCCCCGCTCACCTCTGGGTGGTAGGCGGCTTCCTGAAACGCGGAGACAAGAAAGCCCCGATTCACATGCAGCACCATCCCTGCGAGCACCCACAGCCTCCCACAAACCCGTTCCAGACCCACACCACCTGCCCGCCCCACCTTGCAGGCACGCAGCATATCTGCAATGGCACGGCGGCTCAGGTTGGCCGGACCCCCCCGCCGACCCGAGTTGCCAGCAGCCACCGCTTTGGCCGTGGCCATCGTGATGCCTTTCGTCATACGGATGAAGTCCTCTGGGGTGGAGACCTTGGCAGGAGGCACAGGGGAGGAGAAGACCTGTAAGGCGAAAGGTAGTAGTGGTGAGGCACAGGGCAGCCGGCAAGTTGGGACAGCAGCCACAGCACCACAGCTGTACTCACTGCCAGCTCTTGGCGTATGTGCTCTATCGTGGCCTCCAGTGCCCGTGTCCCCTTTGTGGCCTCATCCTCGACGGCCTTCACTGTCTTCAGCAATGAAGTGACATTTGTCACCATCACCTGTAGAACGGAGAAGAGAGCCAGGTGAAGCCCCACACAAGCTCTGGGATGTTGCTGGCATCTGTCCCTACCTTGTGGTTTGGTCCAAAACAGCCCAGTTCCCATACTCCAGTCACACCACCTCATCTTGTTCTCCCACCAGTGTCTCCTCTGCATGTTGTGCCCCACCTTTTATGTGCCCCTTCCTCCCCAACCTTGCCCTCACTATCCTCAAGTTGTCCTCCTGCCCCTAGATGGGCAGAGAAGCCCACCAGCTCTTTCTCCAGCCCAAGCCTGCCCCATTCCCTCCTTCCC